TCACAGTGCTTTGAGTTATTTTGGCCAAGTGCAAAATTACCGTGAAAAATAACAGTTTACTAAGAGAGAATAATACCAGAGAGACAACAAATAAACCATACAGGAACAAGGATGGTAAAGGACGGAGAAGTTTAGAACGGATTACAAACGACGAATCTGAATACATTCGGCTAAATGTTTTATGATGCGCGAACCGTGACGTACTGTGGTACTTTAAGTCTTTTAAGGTTTTTGTAGGCGACGAAGTGAAATTCATTGCGTGCGTTAGAGGGGGGCAGGGAGTGGATCAACGCTGGTCTTTATTAACATATTTCAAATTGACACATGGAAGAGAAACTGAATGCTAATGAGAAATTAATTATCCGATAGCGGAAATTAAAGCACATCGCGCAAGAAACTGCTATTCTTTCAGTTAATGAGAACAGGAACACACAGAACTGATCAAAACAGAAACTACTGAGTTAGATTGCGCAACATGTGGGGACTTCAAAAATTCCTCCAAGAACGAAAAGAAAAAAACATGACGATTTTTAAAATTATGTCAAACACAGAAAACAAACATGTAAAAAAACGTGTCTCCTTTTTTTTTGTTATTTTGCCAAAAATTAGTGTATAGGAAATTCAGATCGCAATTTGAAATTAACGCGAGGCTAAAACACAACTGTTTGAATTTCAAGTTACTTCAGTTAATGGTGGAATTCCAAAATACGGCGCTTTCAAAACCAGAGCCTCGTTATAAATTAAAATTATGTAGCTGTACTTTTGGTTGAAACTGAGGACATACATCTTTTAAAACCAGGGAGACTCCATTATTTTTAAAACGCATTTGATTATGTTAATTATGGCATTTGCATTTCTAGATGAAAACTGGACATGAAAACCATTCATTTTACTGGCATTTTACTTACAAAGTGTTCAATGACCCTTTTTACCTTGAATACTGGATTGCATACTCTTTCCGTCAGAGGAAATGAATTTGACAGAAAGTGCGTTTTCAATAACTCTTCATAGACAAAACACCGTTGATGTTCAACTGAATTTTAATTACAGGGTTATTAGCACAACTCCTTTCATATTTAAATGTAAGGATTAGCACTTACCGCGCAAAGTGACTGATTTTGAAAAATGATTGATTTCCCACAGAGGAAATTGCTGTAATGATTAAAGTCTGTGCAGTTGAAAATATTTCTGCTAGAGATAATTTTTTCACTGAATTTTCTTTGTTTAGAATTTCCTTTGACGAGATTTTGTGTGACATGATAAAACAGTAAGAGCTCTCAATTTAAAAGTTAAAAAGAACTTAATATGTAGAGAGCGTTTTTACTCACGTGGCCAGCAGCGATGCAAATTGATTGAAACACAAAAAAGTGTTTACACAAGAGAAAAGAGGTCAATCCCCACAGAATTTGTTTCTGACTCCAATATGGCCGCCGTTTCATTGTCTTGAGACACCAACATGGCTACGTCATGTTAACCCAATCTATATATATTGAAAATACATTAACCGTCAGCAACATCAGTTAATGTAAAATGTTGTTGTTTTTTGAAAATTTGCTGAGAGGCACATTTATTCCGAAATGAAAGGCATTTATTTCATCTAAAGGACTACCATAAACGTCTGTTAATACACTCCCCCTTCTTTGATAATAAATTTTCCCAACAATAAGCCCAACCAAAAAGCCTTTTTTGCTGGGAGAGGGGAAAACCCTGTGATGGCCCTGCGATGGACAAGCATTCTATCCAGGGGGAGTGGAAATACTACCATGCCAGTTGCTTCATATTGAGAAAAATGCGATAAACTCCCGTTGTATGGACTACTTGGGCCAATGTAGACTAAACCTTTGCTGTCAGTCCTAACAATGTTTGAGTAGCGCGTCAATTTTCTGAATTACATTGTTGGCTCTCCTCAATACCAAGATATTTCCTAAAGAAATCTAACATTGAGTTTATTGATATTTCAGGAACATTTCAGCACGTTTGTTCGTAACGAACCCTCCGACACTCTGCAGTTCACTGTGTTCCTAGAAGTCCTCAGATATGTTGGGAAAAGGCGAGCTTTTGTCATAGTTAGCGACGACACTTCGTATGGACTGGTCATGAAATATTACAACGACTGTGACTTTGCCTCTTTAACTATTATTAACCTTGGGTCGCCTGATATTGAACAAAGAGATATCATCCAGGAGTTACTAAGAATCAAATCCAGCACAGCGCAGGCTGTTTATCTTCACTGTAACTCCAAGCTTGCGCATTTTATTCTATGGATTGCAAAGGATTTTCGTCTCATCAACGAAAATATGTTATGGATTCTCTCCGAGAAATCACTTCATGACATACCAAATCTTTACACTCTTCCAAGTTTTATTTACGCTATTCGAACACAGAGGTTTGCCAGCGAAGAGGAGTTTGATAGAAGGCACTTGACGAACAGCTTGTCAATAATACTGAAAACGTTTGGATCAATGAACCAAGGAGAAGTGAGACAGTATCTACGACAACCTTCAGACTGTTATAGTACCTCAGCATGGAATAAAGGGCAGGAGCTTCACAAGTAAGAATTAATATAATTAGATTTTAAAGAATACGAAATATTTAAGATGATTTCCAGTCCATATTGTCCACTCTCGAGAGTTCGTTTACGTTTTTTGTTTTGTATCATGTAAGACATCACAAAATGTAACATTTGGCAACTAATTGCGTGAGGTAACTTCAAAGTTTCATGTCAAGCGCCATTATGGATGCTAAGCTTTATGCTTCGCTTTTTCTTATATCACTCGATGAAACAACTTCGCAGCTGTAAAAATCAATGAAGCTGTTGGAAAAAAGAATTTAAATTGGCCTCAAAGATAAGGTATGTGGTTCGTAATGAATAACATCGATTCGCATTTCATCGAGTCTGCGTGAGACACATAGACATCAGGGCCGGGTTGTTCGAAAGTCGGTTAACGCTAACCCAGGATGAAGAATGAACCGAAAGATTAATTTTTCTTGTAAAAAATGTTTTTTACTGCTCACGTTTTGTGTAGTTTGAGCTTAGTCAGGTTCAAAACTGAAGGACAAACATTATAAATAGAAAACCTCTACGAAAAGTTACAAAACTGAAATCAAAATTCTTGTTAATCCTGGGTTAGCTTAATCGAGCTTTGAACAACCGGGCCCAAGGTGCTGAGACCGCGAAGCACGGACTGGAAATAATCTTTAAATCAATATTGTAAATTTGAGCAAGTCGTACCGTTGTACGCTGAGATCCGAGATCTGCAAAATTCCTCGGATAGCTGAGAAAACGCCGAAGATTTAAGTGATAACTGAGATTACAGCATTCCATCCAGACTCTGTACTGTGGTCAGAAAGGTTTTCCAATCCTATTGGTCAATGAAACAGTCAAAGGAAATCTCAAAGCAACATACTCATAACTAGTGACACGCGAGGCAACCTTTACGGAGCTGGTGGTACGCGCGATAAAACTTCGTAGCCTGTGGTTAACACTGGAAAAATGACGTAGTCCATATTACGTGTCACGCATGGCTCTTTTTTGACCTGATTAGCAGCATGACAGCAGAGCCTCAACCCCCCTCCCTCCTTATACACCTGGGTACAGAGAAGCCCTGTGAGAGTATATTGTCTTTCCCAAGAACACGAGGGAATGACCCTGTCCAGAGCTTGAACCTCCCGATCCGGATTTCGTAGCCACCACGATCGCCACACATAATGTATTGTATCGCAGCGTGTAACATTAGTGTTTTTCTGGCGTATGGCTAGCTCTGTGGAATATCTAGTTAAACTGCTCTGCATCTTCTAAACTTAAGCTTGTGTAATTTAATTATGTTATCCTGTTATCTACTTTCAGGTTACTCGAGGCAAACGCTAGATCACGTGATTCGGAGAACACTGAACGCAACAACATCGCACGACTTTCTTACGAAGTTCTTTATCTACAAACACCTCACGACCAAGATAAGGGCTGGGTTCAGATAGGACAATGGACGAACAAAGGACTAACATTACAAACAGGAGATCTGTCTCGTGCAAACGATAAAAGCAGAGGGGAGA